TTAATTGCGTACGTTTCAATTTAAAATGACTTTTAAAATATTTTTATTTAAAAAAAAAAAATCCTTTATTTTAACTAAATCTATTTTTTTTTAAATAATTTAAATTAAAATATTCGGGGATGGAACCAATCCCTATTGGGAGATGGAGGGTCACTTTTATCCTTGGCGGTAATGGAGTCAGTGAAGTCTGAGGTTGGGGATGGAGTATGGTCCCCACCTTTGAACTTGTCCTATTGTCATTTTGATAATCACTATTTGGAAATCACTTAAGTACCCCTAAAGACAGTTTGACCCTTCTCCGATCCACCAAACCCTACCTTTAAGTTTTAGATACCTTGAATTAGGGTTGCAAGTTGGGTAGGTTGGGTTGGGTTTATGATCAATTCAGGCCCAACCTTAAAATTTGAGTTTAAGGCCCGAGCCCAAGGTCAAGCCTGATCTTCTTAATCTGAGCCAGTCCGTATTGTAATTTGATCTATTCGGGTTGGGCTAACGCTTGGGTTGGAAAATAAACCAACTCTAAAATTATACAAATATTTATGTACATATGTAAATACGTATGCAAAATATATATATATCTATGTGTGTGTGTGTGTGTGCAAATATGCATGATAAATTTATATATATATATATATGTATGTATGTATATATGTATGCATAAATATGTATAGTTGGGATGAGATTGGGCTGGGTTCAAGATACCTAAGGGATAAACCAGGTTTGGCCCAAAAAATAAAATAGTTCAACTTCTTGGGCCTAAGCCCAACCCGAGGACCGAAAATCCAAGCCCAGCCCATATAAAATTTTGGACTGAATTGGTTCGGACTCGGGTTGGGCCCGCCAAAATTGCACCCATACCTCAAACCCCATACACATCACATTTCATTCCAAAACATTATCATGTCTCCCTTAATCAAGCCAAGATTTCATTTTAAACCCTCTCATTGATTGGCATACTCAAGTTTCATGTTTATCGCCCTAATGCATCATCACCTAGCCAATCAAACCTTACCATTAAATTCCAAATCCCCCAAAAACCCTTGCTTACCAAATTTCACTATAAAATTCCCTGTTTTGACTTTGGTAAAACCAAGATTGTGTTTATATTTTTTTCATTGGCCAATACCATCTACCCATTAAATTACCATTCTCACAACATTTTTAAACAATCTAATGACACTATCGAATTTAGCACCCTTGGCCAACCAAATTTTACTTAAAAACACTCCCATTTGCCCCCCCCCCCTTAATTATAGAGATTCCATTTCCTACATTCTAATTGCCTGACCACTAGACCTGTTCATGGGCCGGGTAGCCCGACGGCCCGGCCCGGCCCGGCCCGCACCCTGGTCGGGCTTGGTCATATAATTAGGCCCGTGGGTTTGACCTCGGGCTTAACACAGTAAGCCCGATTGTGTTTCGGGCCAGGCTCGGGATTTGTCAAAAAAGCCCGGCACGGCCCAACTCAGTATTATATATTTTATAAAATATATAATATGTATTTTATATATTATATAAAATATATAAATAATATAATATTTATTAAAATATATATTTATAATTTAATATATATATATATATATTATTCTTTTCTTTATAATTTCAATCTATCTCTCTCTTTATTCAGCTGCTTCAACATTAATAATAATAATAATATAGGCTAAATTTCGGGCCCGAGCCTGGGCTCGGGCCCAAATTGTAGGCCCGAGGTCGGGCCGGGCTCGGGCTCGGGCCTTAAAAAAATTTGTTAATACACAGTAAAAACCCGGCCCGAGCCCGGCCCATGAATAGGTCTACTAACCACCTTGCACCCTTACACACCCTTACATCTAAAAGGAATCATAAAGATTCCCTTAGAATAGGGAATTTTCTCTTCTAATATTTTTACCCAAGGTTTAAAATTTTGATATGATTAATAACTCTGCATTTTGATAATGTAAGAGCATCATTTCAGGGGTATTTTCGGTTTTAGAATAATCAAAGTATGCCCTATTTCCTAGTTAAAATCAATATTGTGACCTCTGAGGGTCTTTGTGCAAATTCTGTGAAAAACTGGGGAAGCTACATGGCTGAAATGCAACTTTTGGAAAGCTGGTGTGAAGTCTAGCTGAGAGAGGGAGTGTTGTTGTGAAAAACTACAAATAGGAGGGTGCCTCCTATATGCTAAACCCAAAATGACGCCCTTCCTACTATATTAGCATGCTCCCCTCTCCTTAGCAAATCCTAGGGCGCCTCTTAACCCATTCTTTTCATTCTTAGAAAACCCTAGCCGCCCTTAGCTGTTTAATCTCCAGCCTCCACTCTTTTTAATATCCACTATTCATTTTAGGGCACTCTTTTCGTAGCTTTTAAACCCTAGGGCGCCACCTAACAGATAATCCTCACCATTCAGCCCTTAACCACTTGATCTTAGCCCTCCACTCCATCTTATATCTTAGCCATCCACTCTAGGGCTCCACCTACTTCTTCTAATCTCCACCTTTCAACCCTAGGTGCCTTAATCTCCTCCATTCATTTCTAGGCGCCCAAATCTCAGCCCTACATAACATTGGGTGCCCTCTTCTTTTCTTCTCAGCCCTAGGATCACCCTTGAATCATCCTAACCCTCCATTAGAAACCCTAGGGCACCCATAACTTTGCTAAAACCCAGCTGCCGCCCCCCTCTTTCTCTCTATTCCCAGTTGTGTCCGCCATTCTCTATAAAAAGGACCCTAAGGGCCCTAGAGAAGGGGTTGGTCAATTCACTTAATTAACAAGGCTAAGGTTTCATGAGGAGTTCAAGGGTTGTAGAAGGAGGGGACACCCAAATCTTGTCAGGAGGGGTTCTTGCAAGCTGTTCAACTATTCTACAACAACCGCCACTGGATCTGATCAACCACTCTTTTATTTTCTTTATTTTATTTTCTGTTATTTTTATTTTTTCAATCTTTTAGATTTAATTCTTTTTTGTTTCTCTATTTTGCATATCTAAATTCGTTCGGTTCAAGGCTAAGGTGTCTTGAGGGGTTCGAGGGTTGTAGAAAGGATGGATGCTCAGTTCTTTTTAGGAGGGGTTTCTACAAGCTATCTGGCTGATCTAAAGCTATCGCCACCAGATCCAGATTCTAAATCATTTTTTTTATTTATTTCTTTTATACTTTGTTGATTCCCATACTTTATTAAATTTTGATTTTTATTTATTGTCTTGTTTAAATTTGAAATATTTAATTTTAGCAATAATATATTTTATTTTCGTATTTTTTGCCATTCCGATTGCACTCTCTTGTTTGGATCTAAGTATATATTAATTTTTCACTTGCTTTCTTGTGGATACGTTCCGTTCTCACCCATTTACTACGTTAGTAATTGTTTGAAAAACAGTAAAAATTATAAATGTTTAAAATGGTGTTTTAGAGTGTTTAACGAGGCGCTTCTCGACACACCAATGATACGCTCGATACAGGGCATATCGTATTGTATCTTTTAAAAATCGATATAGGATACGCATGGAAATCGAACACTTCATCTTTTTTCATGCGTACCGGGGGTGTATTGGGGCGTATCGATAGTGTATCGACGAAAAAGATTGACCAAAAACTAAAATAATTTAAAGGGGGAAACAAGCTTCTTTTCCCCGAAATAAGCCTTCTTTCACCCCCAAATGACTTTAAAACTCCAAACTTCATTCCTAGAGTATTAGATTTGCAAAATTTTACAAGAAACAAGTGTGAATCGTTAATTTTTTTTAAAGATTTTTCAAATTTTGAAAAATATGGAAAAAATAGGTAAAATTTTTCAATCTTTTATAATATCTTGTGATTTCTTTTTTTTTTCTTGAATGTTTAAATTTATGTCGATCTACATTTCTTACATTGAAAATCACAAATTTTTTTTTGTGCTATTAGTAGATTTATGAAAATTTCATGAAGATATTTGGGGAAAATATAAATTAACAATATATTTGAAAATGTAAGTTTTTTCTTTGCCTATAAAGACTAAATGTGTTTTAGATATATGGATTTATCTATCATATCCATAGAGCAATTGAAATTTCTTCTTTAATATTTTTTTTTATTTTTTTCTATTGTTAGAATAAAATATAAATAATAATTAATTATATTTTATCATTTGATCATAACAATTGAATATATTATAATTCTATGGATGATCTATCATATCCATAGACCAATTGAAATTTCTTCTTTAATAATTATTTCTTTTTATTTTTTAGAATTGAAGAATAAATAGTTAATTAATCATATTTTTTCATTTGATCACAATGACTGAATATATTATAATTTTATGGATGATCTATCATATCTACAATTGAAATTTCTTCTTTAATAACTATTTTTTGAATATATTATATAATTTTTATTTATTTTTTATAATTTTTGAAAATGAATAATAAATAATAATTATTTAAACAATAAATAATTATTAATTATATTTTCACATAGAGGTTGTGTCAATGTAGGTTTTATGGTTGGATAAGAGAGTTGGGTTTTTCTCATCCCATAAAACATTAAAACTTAAGAATTATAATTTATAAATTATAGTTAAGCATATGATTTTTAATGAAATTATAATTAGCTATAATATATTTCTTCTTAAAACCATTAAAATATATAATTTAATGTATATATACCTCATTAGGTCTTATATTTAGTGTTGTTGATGCATTTTTATGATTTATTAAAGTATTTTTAGTGTTTCCAAGTACATCTATGCGTATCTTAGTTTTTCTTCGATAAGCATGCGTACCCAAGGTATATCCCGATACATATCTTAAAATTGCCTTTCTAATACACTTGTCGTTTTCAATAATTTGAACATTGTTTTTACCTGAAATCCCTGAACTACCTTGGCTCTCCTATTTCACTTCTAAGATTTCCCTTGTCCTACACCAACCTTGACTCTTTTGCCTCTAAACTTTAGTGGAATATCCAAAATACCCCTGGACACTTCATTATAAATAGGGAAGAGGGGGACCCCTCTCAAGACGATGAACAGAAAGGTAATGTCCTTCCACTCCTACATCCCTTTCTCTCCCCTTTTCCTCCCCCCTTTCTCTCCCTCCCCTTTCTTTCTTTCTAACTTTCCCCTACTCACCTCCACCAAATTAAGGACATCTTGTCAATTAAAGGTAAGTTGAAGAACATTTTAGCTCCCTATTTTGGTGGGAAATTCCTAATAGGTATGTTGTACTTTAGGCTCAGTGCCAAAACTTTTGCAACAATCTAGCACCTGGGGTTAATATGACATGTAAAAAGATTCCCGATGGTATCTAATAACAATTCAAAAAAAGGGCTAAAACCAAGTTTGATAATATTAATCACTGTTGCAGACACCGCTAGAGTCGCGATTCAGATCTGCCACCGGAAACTGCAGCAGCGAATAGAAGTTGAGGAAGAGAAAGAGGGAGGTAGAAGAAACGACGGAGAAATCACCACGGGTTCAGATCTGCCACCGGAAGTTGCAGCAGTGAATAGAAGTTAAGGAATGCAGAACGTGTTCAGATCTACTGCCGCTCTGTTTTTCGTGAAGAAGATGAACAGTGTTCGGAAATGAATTCGGTGATTTGATGGTGGAAGAAGAAGAAGAGAAGAGGAGAGAAGGGGAAGAAGAAATGAATTCGGTGATTCTGCCGCCCCTGCAACTCTGTTCGAATGAAGGGGAAGAACTCTCTTGACCCCTCCTCTGCTTCTGGCCACCTCCATTGAAACTGGAAGAGCAACCGTCTAAAACCCAAAACCCTTGACATACGGTTGAAACCCCCATTGAAACCCAGAACTCTCTTGACCCCTCCTACCTCTACACAGCAGCAGCGGCAGCATGGCTGCTCTCACAACCCAAACCCTTGACATACGCCCACAATACTACAACCCAAAGCTCCCAGCCCACACGCTCTCTTGACCCCTCCGCCGCTTCTGTCCACCTCCAATGAAACTAGAAGAGCAACCGTCTGAAACCCAAAACCCTCGACATACGGTTGAAACCCCCATTGAAACCCAGAACTCTCTTGACCCCTCCTATCTCTGCACAGCAGCGGCAGCATGGCTGCCCTCACAACCCAAACCCTTGACATACGTCCACAGTACTACAATCCAAAGCTCCCAGCCCACACGCTCTCGTCCTCCAAGAAGTACGAGGATTCTTCCGACCTCGTTCACCTTCAACATTTACCTCATCCGGTACGGCAAGTGGAAACCATCTCATAAGTTCATCATCAAGGACTTCCTCCTCTCCATCTCTGCCAACCATCGCGCAGCCGCTTCGCCTTCTGTCTCTGAGTGGTGGAGAACCGCTTCTCTTTATACCGACCAGACCGGCGCCAACGTCTCCCGAACGGTGCTCATCGCATAGAAGCCGGCCTACCATGAGAAGGGTGGTTGAGTTGCTCAAGGATCACACATCTGTTGGTTATTCCGGCCTACACCTCGTATCAAATGATCATCTTGCTCATTATTAATCCTTCTTTCTTTGATTTTTGATTTCTTATCCTATTCAGACGTTGGGGTGGAACCGGGCATGGCTGGAGCCATTGCTGCAACCATTATTGGATGCAGCGAAGAACATCTGACTGGTGGTGGATGGAGGCTTTACCGGATCTTCATTTTCTTGAGAAAGAAGATGATGAACATAATTGATGACTAGATTATTGTAAAATGAAAATTCAGGTATTAGACTGTCACCTTTTAAAGTTCAGATATTAAATTGCATTCAACTCAACGTACAGGGTACCTATCAGGAATTTTCCCTTCTTTCTTCTTTTCTTGGTTGGTTTTGATATTCACATGTGAGGATTGCTTGGAGTAGGTTGTAGGGCTTAACTTTCAACCCTACATTCCTTATTTACTATCTAAGATTTAGGTCCCAAAGAAAGTGGAAAAGGGGGGACCCAAGAACTACCAACTTGTTGTGACTCTAAGTTGATGATAATTGGGTGAGGTTTTAGCTCATTCTCCCCTAATAACATGAACTTCTCGGTTTTAATTTTTTTTGTTTTTTGTTTTTTTTTGCATTTTATGTGTTATTTTATACAAGAGCTAGTCAAGGGGGTTCAGTGTAAGAGAGGAGGGTGCCTAATCCCTTACTCCTTTGTCCTAAAACCCAAAATTTCTAGTGAAGAAGACCATTAATGTGTAATTAGCAAAAAAAATTCTTATCTTTAAAATGGAACTCATTACCCAAACTTGGTGAGTGCCAACATCAAGTAAAAACAACCAAAAAAATTGGCATGTTCACACGGAATGGGATCTGCTCCTCAACATGGGTATCTCACAAGCACATCCAACCATACATTGGGAACATCTCCCGTGAATAATAACTTATAACTTTGGGAGATGTTCCCAATGCATCGTAGGATGTGCGTGTGAGTTCAATGTGAGACACCCTATGTGAGGAGCAGATTTGGTCTTTGTTCACACCTATCACTTGGACAAATTTTTGACATGTTTCAATATAAACCACTAGTGGAAAAAAAAACAAAGAAAGGAAATATGACATTAATTTTATTTTTTTGATAAAATCATTGGGCCATGGGTACGACATTAATTTTATTTTTTATGGTACTTTAGTCAATTTCATCATTAATGATAATTTTCATCACACATGTTTTGTTCAATGTGATAAATAATATTATAGACATGCTCACGATTTTTATAAATTCTATAATACTTTGTATATTTGTATTTTATTTAAAGGGAAATTCAATTCTCATTGGTTTCAAAACATTGAATTTTTGTCAATGATTTCAAAACCTTTCTGGAAATACCATTCACTTAGTCAACAAACATTGTGAGTTAGATGTATGTTCAATTTTTTCTACAAAATTTGTATGTTTTCAATAATTTATTGTATTTCTATCTATTCTTTAAGTTGTTATTTGATTATATCATATGTTGACCCATATGACCTAGTCACTACCAATCGGATGGAAATACTTTTGCTTTTGTGTTGAATTTAAATTTTGCATTTCATTTCCATTAGTTGTAAACACAGTTATTTTTATATTTAATAAGATGAACATTTAATATTAGAGATGTGCTCAAATGCTTTATACAAAATTTATATATTTTTCATATTTTTTGTGTTTTTATCTTTTTAAAATATTTATTATTTAATTGTGACATCATGGGTTAATCAATTTGATCTAAAAGGTTGGACTCTTGACCTTCCATGTAGAAGGAAAATGGTTTCACTTTTAGATTAGTTTTAAATTTTATATTTCATTTACGCCATCAATAAAAATTATTCTTATTTATAACAATTATCTATGTTTAGTATGATTAATATATAATATTAGAGATGCACCTAAACTCTTCTATCCTTTGTATATGCAATGTCTGCATTTTTTTCTTTTTATAAAATTTTATTATTTAACTATAATGTCATGTTTACTCCCATTGACCCACCATTTAGGTAGGATAATGGTTTCATTTTTGAGTCCATTTTAAAATTTTATTTTATTTATATTATTAATACAAACACTTATTATTTGTCATATTTTTTTAACATGATAGATATATAATATTAGAGATGCCAAATATTTTTACAAATTTTCTTTGTTGTTGTATTTTTAAAGATTTAGTATTTAATTATGGCATCAGGTGTTCACTTGTTTCACCCAAACGGTTGAATTGTTGACTTTCCACCAAATAGAACAATTCCAATTTTGTGTTGGTTTTAAATTTATATTTTTTGTCATCATCAATAAAAATAATTATTCTTTGCCATACCTATTTTTCTTTAATATTGTTAATTAATATAGGATTTAATGAAAGAATGAGAGTTAATACCCTAAATATAATACTTAATGAGAGGGAATTGAATGAGGAGAAATGTAGTAATTCAAATATATCTTGTGCCTTCATAATTAAAGATGAACCAAATATAAAAGTAGGAATATTATAGTCAAGAATAAGAATCAATGAATGTAAATGGAGTTAATACCTTAAATTTAAAACTTAATGAGAGGGATTTGAATAAGGAGAAAAGTGGGTAATCAACTTACACTTATGTTCTTATAATTAGAGAGGGGCCAATTTAAAAAATTGGGATATTTTAGTCAAACAAAAGTTTCACACTATCATACACACTTTTAATAGTAATATAGATAGGCATCTATACACTATACTATTAAAATTTGGGATCATTTACTAAAACACTCCTGTACTTTGCAAATGCTTATTGATAGTTCTTTTAGACAGAAGTATAAAATGAAAAATTTGACCTTAACATCTATTCAACCAAAATAATTAAAAGAAAAGAAATAATCAAATTGTCAATTTGAAATAACCAAAAATAAAAGTAAAAATAAAAATAGACAACGAGAGGAAAAATAAAAAATATAAAATTAAAATACAAAACAAAGGAAGAACCAAAAAATAAAAATGAAAAAGAAAATGAACAATAAAAACATATTTTCTATTACTGCCTATTTTACTTTTATTTCTATTTTTGTTATCCTTCTTTCTTTCTGCTTTAATTTTTGTTCTATTGTTTTTTACTATCACTTTTTGTTTTATTTTTGAAATAAAATAATGTAAGAGTAGGCTTTTGTTTGTAGCCCATTCCCCATACCAAAACCCACCCAACCTTAGTGGCAATGAGATTTGATCCCAAGCCTCTCAACCAGCAAGATACCCACCCAATTGAGATAGATAGTATCAATTGGTGTTAGAAACCTTGGGGTTGGGGTTTATAATTGACTAGGGAAATTGATTTTTTTATCTCAAAATTTACCGCAATTAAATTTTATTAAATTTGAAGGAAAAGAAATCCTAGGAGGGGGATATAAAAGCCTTATGCCTCAATAAAAGCTAATTAGACCGAGATCCACCTGTACTATATAGTTACAATTGCCAAAGAAAAGTAGAAAAAAGGTGGATCTCAAAAAAAAAAAAAAAAAAATCACCGAATCTACAAAAAAGGAATACCTAAACCATCATCTCTAAAGAGGTGCTGAGAATTGTAAATTACGGTAAACAGGAATCACTAGCTTTCTTGGAAAGCCAATGAACCACCTGATTAGCCTCCCTAAATATGTCTGCGTTACCTCGATGTCCATGATCCTTACAAAACTGTATAGGAGATTTTTCTAGTACCATAGCTTCCATGTAAGGGCGTAATTTCCGTGAATGATCTCAAGTCAGAAGCAGGATGAGAATTAGTTTCCATCTTTGACTCCAATCCCCATAGGGGAAAATTTAGCCTGCATCCCTGATTTCCCCAAATCCCCAAATTTTTAATTAAAAGTTTGTTTTCATAAAGGTATTTATTTAAAATAAAGGAAAATTAATATGCAAATAATATTTTAAATATATTTTGATATATATATATATATATATATAATATTATATATTTAGTATAATATATTTTCATATATTTAATATATATAATCAGGGTCGAGGCAAGGTGTGGACTTCACTCCCCATCCCCATCCCGGTCCCCAATTGGGTATTCCTATTAATCCATCCCCATCGTGTCTCTGCTAAGGCAGTCTCCATCCCCATCCTTGTCTGGTTGGGGAGGCTAGATACTCGAAGGAGATGGGGAAAATTTCCATCCCTACCCTTGGGTTGTGTATCCCCATAGAGCAATAAGTTATAAGCCCAATATACCCTAACGTCCTTTTCCCGTGCATCGCACGGGTTCCGCTAGTTCATATGTAAAGCTAAGCTGTCCCAAACAGCCCTAAAGGAAGAAATATAGTGATGAAGATCATTGATTAAACATCCAACGGTTGTGACTGAAATTTTCAAATGGGTCTTATGAAATTCATTTAAACATGAATGATTGTCTGATCAATGAGTAAATTTTGAAGGTGTTGGGGCTCGACCAACCAAGGACCCAATTGTTCATTGGACAGTATGGTATAGTCTCGTCATGCTGATCAGCAATCCTTCTCTATTCACTTAACTAGGGTTTCAGGCCCAAAAGTAGATCTACTAAAATCATCCCAGCTTAACTTGGCCTGAGTGTACCCAGGCCCTATCCTTGACAAAAACAGCACTCTCAAAACTCAAAAGTAATGTTTTGAAACTGCTCAAAGTGAAGACCCGAATACCTGATCAATGGAGTTAGATGAACTGCCTCATCAGATTGATGCCATCTGACCTCTAATAACAAGATTAAAGATCAATTAATCTGTGAAGAATTTACTTGAAAACTTAAACTGCAAAGATGCATTTCCCTCAGCTAAACTAATAGAATTCCATACTAGGGAATAGGAGCCATTCAACTATCCCTTGGTGGAAGCTTTCTGCTGGAATTTTTTACAGATTTAGTTGTATTAATGACCAATTGCAGAAGGGATGATGTAACTAACTCCTACCAGTTAATGAGTTGAACAGAGTAGTCCCTGAGGATATGCACATCTGAGCCTAGAATCGCCTTTCAACATTCAGGGGCCAGGACAGACATGGCCACTGATGATAGAGGTCTGGAGAAGTGGAGAACCACAAAACACCCTTGATTCCTTGAACATGAAATTTCCAGTACAGTGTGGTCTTCACATGGCGGACTAGCCCAGATGGGACTAATTAAAGTAGGTCGTACTTAATATGGAAATATCCAAACAAAGACCTCAAACAGAGAAATGAGATTACATGGTAGAACTAATGTATAAACAATGTAGTAACATTTTAAGATGTGTTTCTTTCCTCATTTTCTATCCTCATGAAATCAAGATAGGATTTACCATCAAGTTTTCGGGCAAAGAAATCCTTGAAATACTTCTCTACAGGCACTCTTCTGAATATTGCCGGGTTATGTGGACCAATCAAGCTTGTTGCAGGGCCTAGCGCTGCATCCAGTTTGGTGCTGTAGAATGTCGCAATTGAGAGCCTCTCCTTCATTGAGTTTACTGTTGCCCTGTGTTCAATGCTACGGTATATCCCATTGCTCACAATCTGCCAAAATAAGCAGTAAAATATGACAAGAATAAGTTCCTCTTCATCTATCTCAAACCAAATTGAGACACTTCCACAATAAAAACCAGGAAGGTTCAGTATAAGTTTAGGCTTAAGGCTCTGTTTCTGTTTGTTTTCAGTGCAAAGCTGAACTGCATACAAAATTTTCATGCAGTTCAGTTTTGCATCCATTTGTTTGTAACTATGATTTGCACTCTACCTGATACAAAATTTGAACTTTTTGTCTCATTTGTAATCACTGACAGTGCTAATTTTACATCCGAAAAACTGATACAAAACTTCCACCACCTTCTTCCTACTTCAATTCTCTCTGATATGAAGTTGGGACCTCATCATCTTGCTTCCTAGCTCACTTCTAAAAAAATGACCCTCCTATCTCCATTCTTTTTCATACAGAATGGAGACCACTTCATTTTACTTCCTGTTTTACTTCTGAAAAACAAATAAGACAGTCAAATCTGAGGCACAAGTATATTTACACAGCCTATTTTCACTCCCATCCATTTACACTTAGTGCAAAAGAATTTTGATATGCAACCAGTGAACAAGTGAAAACTGATAGATCTATTGAACAGGAGCTAGGAAGGTAAATAAATTTCAGCTCAGATTAAAAGCTTACCTCATATATGTTAATAACAAATCAAATCCAGTTTAGTTTTCTAACTCAAATACAAGACCTAAAAGGCTTTCAATACATCACACAATGGCTATAGGTCCAATTCTTTTAGATAAAGTGGGTTGTTAATAAGCCCAACTTATCAAATGGATAGTGCATCCCAAACAAAATACGTAAGTATAGTTGTTCAGTAGTACTCAGTATGGGGTGGTCATTAACTAGTTTTAACAAATACTCACTCAATCCTAGTCCGCCCAAGTTGTTCCCCTAACAGGAATTGGCATTGCATTCTGATCCAACCAGGTTGGACCACCCTTCCCAATGACTATATATCAACCTCTGGTCTGGATTATAAAACAATCAATGCCTTAGAAGAAAATATCTTCAATTTGATCAACGAGGGTATGCTTATTACAATTGAATAAGACCAAGTTTGATGACAAATACTAAAAGTTCATGACCCAAGTTAATTAATAATTACTCGGGGACTTACCACCCAAACTCAATCCAATATAACTCTACATAATTGGCACAGTGCAATTAAGATCTTATTATCATACACCTATAACTTGCTTGTAGAGCTATCATACAGATTAACGTGATGTGATTAGAGCAAGTGAAATGAAAAATACCTCCATAATATCTCCAATATTAACTACTAAGGCATTTGGGAGTGGATTAACAGGAACCCATTTCCCTTGTTTCCTTATCTGAAGACCTTCTGTTTCATTAAGTTGAAGGAGAATTGTTAGAGCATCAGCATCTGAGTGAGGAGTGAAGCCTATGGCCATCTCTGGTTGGGGACATGGGGGATAGTAATTCATTCTCATTGATTGCACTCCATCACTGAACAACTCTCTCATCTCCTCAGCCTCTATCTTTAGAGCTTTAGCCATTTGGTCTAAAATTTTCAGAGCAAGTTTTCTTAATTCCGATGAGTAAACTTCTAGGCACTCTCTGCAATAGAAAATTCAGCAATCTTCAATAATCCATTAATGTACAACAAAATCTAATACCTAACCCATGGACATAAAATGTTGCTGAAATCAATATAGAAAGACAGAGAGAGAGAGAGAGAGACCTAAAAGACAAAGGGAGCTTTTCAAATAAGTATGATTTCCTTAGAGAGGTTGGAAGAGTAGTTATGTAGAACATATCTGACCAATCAAGTTTCTGCTCCTCCGACACCACAAAAAGCTGCCCAAATCCCTCATGGTCATCTGGGTTCTGCCATAGTTTCTGTTTCTCTTCTGAAGGTAGCTGGAAGAAATCTTCAATCTCTTGTTTAACTTTCTCCAGCAGTGAAGAACTGATTCCATGATTTGCTACCTGATAAAACAAAGACTATTCATTTACGAGAATTCCCTTGGGCCTTGGGGATGTTCTACCGCATCCTTTGTTAAAACAGAGACTGAGAGTCCCTGAAATCAGCAATGTTAATTTCATCTCGGACAGCAAAAGACGGGAACTGACCTGGAAGAAACCCCATTCTTTGCAAGCAGAGTGCATCCTTTCCAGCTCGGAATTCACAAAGTCTCCGGAAAGCAAGCTCTGAATGTCAATGATCGGGACAGCCGGAAACGAAGAATCATCAGAGATTATGGGAGGATCTTGGCGGACGCGTATGTACCGAGGTGGGACTTCGACGATGGGCTGTTTTACCAACTCCTGAACGCTGGGTACTAGCAGAGATTTGCCAAAGGTCACAACTTTTGGAGACTCCATGGATGTGCAGAGCAGAACCTTTGCGTCTGCTTCCGCCAAAACGAAGAAGAAAGATGAAGCAAAATTTTGCCTTCTTCTGAATGCTTCAAATGATTATCTTGAGTGTCTCAAACCGAGTATGCAGTCAAATAATCATGTCAACTGGATAAAACCGAAGTGGAAGGACGAAGTCATGCACCAGAATCTACAACCAAGAGGAAGGTTAGAGGCCTGAGAAGTTGTTCCTTGGGCAGGTACTCCTATGCTCAAGTCAGTTGAATGGAAGGGTAGGTGGTCGGTCAAGCAAGTAAGAATAATGCTGGTCCTAGGTAAAGTAGAGGTATCAAAATCCAAATGTCTCTTATCTTGAGTCGAGATTACTTATTTGTAGTCAGACATCGGTGTTCTAATCGGATGAGGCTTCTAGAGTTTCCGGGATGAAGTTATCGGCTAAGGTCTTCGGGATGTCTCCTCTTCACCGGCAGAGTTAACTTTCTTGTCCGTGTAGGACACTCCAAGTCATAATTATCCACGTGTATGGTGCCGATGTGGCTAGAGAGAGAGGATGGCCGCTAAGGCCGCCACGTGGCATCCTTAGCCAACTCAACCATAACCCAAACAATTACCACTTTTACTGTTGATTGATTATAATATTTTCTAGTCATATATAGTCAAACGCTTTAAAACATAGGAAAAATATATGACCCATTTGATTGCTCGTTACTTTACGACATGTTGATTGGCTAAGTTTTTTTAGTATCAATATCTTTTTAGCATTATAGTGGAACCCTAAGGCTGTGTTTGTGTTTAGTATGAAGGAAAAAGTAGAAAAAGGTAGAAAAATCATTACAAAGCTTGTATAAATTTCCCTACCTTTTCCTTCAAACCAAACATCCATAAGACTCAACAACACCCTCAAACCAAGTACAACTAGAACTGAGGCCGGGCTGGGTTATGAGCTAAAACATTCAAAATGTCGTCTAATCAAGGAAAATATCATTTGTCCATCTGTTTGAGCTAAAGTTCGGAGATCCATCAGATGAGCAATATTAAATTATTAATCCATCTCCAGGGTGCTTCTCCATTTTCTTATTATTAATACAAGAGATTACCACCTGACAATCGCCTATGCCACTTAAAACATCATATTTAATATAGACAATAATTTATACTATATAACATATAATATATGTATATCAGAGTAAATATTATACATAATATGTTATTTTTCATTGGACATTGGGTTCGACCATAAAACATATGCATATGTTTATGTATAAATAAAATATATCTATATGAATATATTGCCGACTGGGCATTAAATTAGGATCATTTACTTGGACACCTCGTATAGTTTCACGTGTTTATTTACTAAAACGTACGTACCCTCTAATTTGCATTTAAACACCCCTATGGAATGCAATTTGCTATACTTGATGACCATTCAGAACCCTTTGTATTTCCTTAGAAAAATGGCCATCTGACCTCTTAAAATGAGTGAAAAATGTGAAAGGATATGGGTTTTGGATTTTTTATTCGAAAAATACACTTGGCATTTCTCATTATGAGATGCACTTCAAGATTCTCTACATCAAGTTATAGTGGGGAGGTGGGGGGTGGGGGAGGGTTTTCTTTCCAAAATGTTAGATATGAGAATTATCAGGGGTATTTCTGTAATAAAAAAACCCTGAATCCATCCTCTTTAACATGTTCCACTTATTTTAAAAATGTCACATTGATCATTTCCATATGAAAGTATATACGGTTAACAACAAGGTCAATTAAGTAAAACTGTTAAAACTGTTGATGTTCTAGTAATATATAAATATATGGTTGGTTTTAGTAAATACACAAAACTGAAAACCATATGGGTTGTCTTAAGTGAATGACCCTTAGAATTACATATATGCACCTCTCTATATATCGGCTAGTTAGGGACCTGGGGTGTAACTTGGGCACGTTTGGTCGTGTTTATGGGCCAACCCAGGACCTCAGGACCAACACTGAGGACTTCAACCTCAAGGCCACCCAACTCAACCCAAAGTCAAAGACTGAGTTTGCCTACCCAAGATAGCTAGCGTTATTCTCTTCCTCTTGTCGATCAATGCTGGCCGCTCAGGTGGTTTGACTTGTTTGGGTTTGAAAGTCCTGTCTGAATTGGATCAGGTTGTCTAAAGTCCTATTTGGTAGAACCCTTTCTTAAAACTTTTACTTTATCTATTCCATTCCATTCGATTTTTCCTTTGGCCTAGGTTTTCTGATAATAATATAAACCTCTCCTCCATTTTGACTCTAAGACTAAAACTCTCCTGTAGTTTTTGAAGAAATGTACAATCACCTCCCTTCCATTGTCTTTATAGAACACAAAGCATTTATTTTTCAAAAATACTAGCTTTACCCTTGTATGAGGCTTGATGAGGGGTAATTTGGACTGACCTATCAACACCCGGACATGTGGAAGCGACCTTGTGACTGGATGATGACTCGACATTCCTTGTCACCTCAGCGAGCAAGGTCAGCTCGGGTACCTCAGGCATCTCGTTCAAGACCGAGGTTCGAGCAGCTCGTTATGGCCCGACTTGCCGACGCGACACGTAGCCAACTTCTAGAAGCTATCAAGATGTCTCTAAGCTCTTTGGGATCACACCGCACGTCTGCAAGCCTTATCCTTATCCTGCCTGGATCAGACGAACTTGATAAGCCTTATTAGCTTACACGAAGTCCACCTCCCAGTGCCGAACGGATTCCTAATAGCACAGATCGGGGATCTTGAAGCTGTTCCATAAGGCCTATGGCAGCTCACCTATATAAGGGCATCAACCCCAACGACACAAGGTACACACGATTATTTGCTTACTAGCCTTATAGCATACAAGTTTTAAGCTCGCACACAGAGAACTAACTTAAGCATCAGAGCACCCACATCGGGTAAGCCACCCTAGGTCCTCTGTGTCTTCTTCTTTTGCAATTTGACTGGCCAACAAACCAGACCATCGTCCAAGCTGCCCTCGATCTAAGAGCATCCAGATCACATACTATCAATTGGCGTCGTCTATGGGAACCACTACACAAAAGCTAAGTTCCTACCTCTAATTTTACCTTTGCAAACTTCAATGGCTTCTTCAAGCAACAACAAGAATGTCGAGATGCCCGCCACCCGGGGGTAAGATCAACCTGCAGTTACTCCAGAGATCCCCTCTATGACTATCGGGCAATTCATAGTGCTCCTCACCCTTCCAGGAGTGTCAGTAGCCCAGAACTCAACATTCCCTCTCCAACAAGTTAACACGCTGATACCTCATGTGAGCGCCCCTCTCCCAGTGGTAGAGCCCTCTACGGTTCCCACCAGGATAGATGCACGATAGTTCTATGAGCTGGTGCAGAACGTCCGAATCATGAACCTGCAGAGAGAGGTTTGGAGCATACATGCCGCCACAACAACCTCAATAGTATTAGTATCAACACCAGCATCACCATTAGCAGAACCTGGAGAACCGACATCAGCCACCACCCCGGGGTCCGACACCACCTTGGGTGCCAACCCCACTAGTGAAACAATCAGCCACATCATAGTTGACAGAACAACCAGCCTCACCAGTCGTAGAGTAAATAGCATCAACACCCCCAACACCCCCAGCATCGTCATCAGCAAAACAACTAGCAACCAAGCAACTCGCAGCCAAGCAACCAACAGCCCGGGTAAGGAATGAGGATCCAGCTCGGGATCCCTTGTACCACCTCTGCAACCCGAACTCGGCTTGTGCTTGGGAGAATGTCAGAAATCGGGAGAATGCCAAGGCCAAGACTCCGGCCAACACTGAAGTGAATAGCACCAACGAGGTGACCAAGAAGCGATGTCGCAAATGCGCACGCCACACCTCCGGAAAGAGTAGCGCCACCCCCACTGCAGAAGTCGAGAAGAGGAGGGAATAAGTCAACTTGGTAGCAGTTCAGCAAACCTCGATTCCTTTGAGCCAGCCGAAGAACTTTCAGACACCCGCACTGGAGACCTACGACGGAAGCACCGACCCCAATGATCACACTGATAGCTTCCTGTTACTAATGTTACTCCATGGGGCAGATGAAGCCTGTCTCTGTATGGCCTTCTCTACGACTTTTAGAGACATGACAAGATTATGGTACCGAGGGCTACCCCTCGGCTCGATAAAAAGTTGGAGCCAGTTCATGGACCTCTTCACAATGCACTTCGCCACAAGTAAGAAGTGACCAAAGTCAGCGACTAGCCTTCTGAATGTGGTACAACGAGAAAATGAGTCCCTCAAGGACTATATCAAAAGGTTCAATTTAGAAAGGCTACAATTACCAAACCTTGACCTAGTCATACAGCTCATTACGGCTTAGAAGGGACTCCGCCACCTTAATCTCCATTGGCAGCTCGAGTTGAACCCACCTACTTCCATGGAGGCATTCTTCACAGAAGCCGACGATAAGTTCATCAAGGCGGAGGAGGCTCTCGGGTCCCGATTAGAGCTGCACTAGGCCGAAAAAAGGAAGATAACAGAGGAAGAAGCAAGCACCAATGGCGAAAGAGTAAGTCACCAAAGAGAAGCAGGTCACCGCGCAATAGGCAAAGCAGATCGCCTTGGAAGAGCCAGTCACCTCAGCGGGGTTCTAGAATAGGTCGGCGATCTAGAACCCCTCCAGTCCAAAGAATGAACTACACCACCTTGAATGCAAAGCAGGGTGGAATTTTGATGCAGATCAAGGAGGCTAGTTATGTTAAATGGCCACCTAGGATGAGAGGAGATCCTGCCAACCGTAACCCGAACCGATACTGTCACTTCCACTGGGATATCGGATACGATACAAAACAACCTGAAGGATGAGATCGAGGAGCTGATCTGCCACGACTATCTTAGAAACTTCACCAAGTATGATGATAGAGACAGAGATCACCGACCTGCCGAGCAGTGAAGAGATGCAACAGAAGCGAGCAGGCGGAATGATCGCGACTAGCAACCTCAGGATCCACTAGCATAGGAGAGACCGATCCACAGGGTAATCAACATGATTACCAATGGGTCGATAGTAGCAGGTTACAGTACGGTGGTAGGCAAGACATCAGCCCCAGAGATAGAGCACGAGGATGAGAACCCGCCAAAGTGCCCTCTAGTGGAAGAAGTCATATACTTTACTAAGGATCCAATATCTGCATGACGACACTCTCATTGTCAAAGTGGTAATTAATGACTTCGAGGTAAAGTGGATCTTGGTTGATTCAGGCAACTCCGTGGACATTCTTTTCTTGGAGGCATTTGAGAAGATTAAGCTGGATTGGAAGGACCTTCAGCCGGTAGAAATGCCCC